AGGAAGGTTTTGGAATTGATTCTGATGAATTGGCATCTATTGTTCGTGGCCATGATACAAAGGGCTTTAATACCCATGGGGGCGTAGAAGGACTAGCCATGAAAGTATCCTCATCACTCAAAGACGGAATCTCATCAAGTGACATACCTTGTAGGCAAAAAATTTATGGACAAAACAAATACACTGAAAAACCTCCTAGAGGATTTTGGACATTTGTATGGGAGGCATTACATGACTTGACATTAATAATTCTGATGGTTTGCGCGGTGGTTTCAGTAGGGGTAGGAATTAGTACTGAAGGGCTTCCTAAAGGAATGTATGATGGGGTGGGAATTCTACTCAGTATATTTTTGGTTGTTATTGTGACTGCTGTCAGTGACTATAAACAGTCGTTGCAATTTATAGATCTGGACAAAGAGAAGAAGAAGATATTTGTTCAGGTTACAAGAGATGGACGTAGGCAGAAGGTACTGATCTTTGATTTGGTTGTTGGAGATATAGTAAACTTGTCTAATGGAGATATAGTTCCTGCTGATGGAATTTTTATTTCTGGCTACAACTTGTTGATTGATGAGTCAAGCTTAACGGGTGAGAGTGAGCCAATTAACATAACTAATGAAAAGCCGTTTCTTTTATGTGGAACGAAAGTACAAGATGGATCAGCTACAATGCTGGTGACTGCTGTTGGTATGAAGACTGAATGGGGAAAGTTGATGGAGACTCTAAGTGAGGGGGGTCAAGATGAGACGCCTTTGCAGGTGAAACTAAATGGAGTTGCTACTATAATTGGAAAGATTGGATTATTATTTGCAGTACTGACATTTTTAGTATTGACTATTAGATTTGTTATTGAAAAAGTTGTTCATGATGAGATCTCACACTGGTCTTCAGAAGATGCATTGAAGCTCCTAGACTACTTTGCTATTGCAGTAACAATTATTGTCGTTGCTGTTCCTGAAGGGCTTCCATTAGCAGTGACTCTCAGCCTTGCCTTTGCAATGAAGAAATTGATGAATGACAAGGCACTGGTTAGGCATCTTACTGCATGTGAAACAATGGGTTCTGCCACATCTATCTGCACTGATAAGACTGGGACACTCACGACAAATCATATGGTAGTTGAAAAGATTTGGTTAGCTGGGAAAGAACGAGAATTGAAAGGAAAAGATTTGAAATCAGATGTATCTGAGAGTACCTTGACCACTCTTTTACAAGTTATTTTCTTAAATACTGGTGCAGAAATAGTAAAGGACCATGATGGAAAGACTTCCATTCAAGGGCAGGCAACTGATTCAGCATTGCTTGGATTCGGAATGCTTCTAGGGGGGAATTTTGAGGAGTTTCGCCAAAAGTACCAGATAAAGAATGTAGAGCCTTTTAATTCTGTTAGAAAGAAGATGTCTGTCCTTGTGGCTTTGCCGGAAGGTGGAACTCGAGCCTTCTGCAAGGGGGCATCAGAAATAGTTTTAGGCTTGTGCCACAAAATGATTGATTGCAATGGCAATTCTGTAGACATTTCTGAAGAGCACTTCAAGAATATAACTAATGTCATAAATGGTTTTGCTGATCAAGCTTTGAGGACTCTGTGCTTGGCTTTCAGAGACATGGATGTTGGATATGATGAAAACAGCATTCCTGAAGATGGATATACTTTAGTAGCCGTTGTTGGAATCAAGGATCCAGTTCGTCCTGGGGTAACAGAAGCTGTTCAGACTTGTTTAGCTGCTGGAATCACTGTGCGTATGGTCACTGGTGACAATATCAATACAGCCAAGGCCATAGCAAGAGAATGTGGTATACTAACAGAAGGTGGCCTTGCCGTAGAAGGATCTGAGTTCCGTAGTAAGACTCATGAAGAGATGAAAGAGATCTCACAAAGAATCCAGGTTTGTTTTCCAATTCTTGCAGAAACTCTCTTTAGTTGCAGGCATTTATAGTTGGAAAGTACTGAAGTTTGCACGAATTTTTTTATCAATAATATCAGGTAATGGCAAGGTCTCTGCCATTAGACAAACACAAATTGGTGAGTAACCTCAGAATACTCCGGGAGGTGGTTTCTGTGACTGGTGACGGGACCAATGATGCACCTGCCTTGCATGAGTCTGATATAGGACTTGCTATGGGAATTGCAGGAACAGAGGTTTGTTAATAATTTCATTGTCTAAGTCAATTATGATGCACCTGCCTTGCATGAGTCTGATATAGGACTTGCTATGGGAATTGCAGGAACAGAGGTTTGTTAATAATTTCATTGTCTAAGTCAATTATGATGCACCTTTTATTTTAGAGAATGGATGCAGGGTTCATTCAGTTCTTTTACTCATGATTGATGATTCCACATGGTGGATTGGAAATAATTTTAATGCCTGTGAAAATGACTGTTGCAGTGTAACTACTGAACAGTTTCTTTCTTTCCTGGCACTTCCCTTGGTCCTTGCCAAATTCTGGGGACTGTTGTTGATACCTTTGTATATTATTTCAGTATTATATTGTCTTGACAATAAAGACTTTGCAACACTTTTAGTTTCTAAAATCCAAATTTCTTTACAAAGAACTATATGGATAGATAGATTAGATAGATATTACCTGTTATCGAAAAGACTAGAATTAAAGCTTTGTAGAAATTGTTTATTGAGATTCATCATTTACCACCTTAAGTCTGAAATTTTGTGATCTGAAGAGTTGCATGTAGAATGCTAGCTGCAATTCTACCTTCTGACTCCACAAGTTATTGTCTACAGGTTGCAAAGGAAAGCGCCGATGTCATTATTTTAGATGACAATTTCAGCACCATTGTAAATGTAGTCAAATGGGGGAGAGCTGTCTACATAAACATCCAAAAATTTGTGCAATTCCAGTTGACAGTCAACATAGTTGCCCTAATGCTAAATTTTGTAGCTGCATGCATCACTGGTTAGTTCCGGATTTATTGAACTTTCTTACATTGCATAATATCTTTGTACATTTTACGGATATATTATGGGACTTCTAGGTTCTGCTCCATTGACGGCTGTGCAGTTGCTGTGGGTCAACATGATTATGGATACACTTGGCGCGCTGGCCCTGGCTACAGAACCACCTACTGATGAGCTCATGAAAAGACCTCCTATTGGAAGAAATGTTAGTTTTATTACCAAGACTATGTGGAGAAATATCCTTGGCCAGAGTGTATATCAGTTCGCTGTCCTTGCTGTTCTGAGCTTTGATGGAGAGCGGCTACTTAGACTTGGCGGCCCAGATTCTCAAGTTATCCTGAATACAGTCATATTTAACTCTTTTGTGTTCTGCCAGGTTTCCTCTTGCTTTTCCTCTGCCTCTCTCTTTTCCTTTCTTCCATTGCTCCCTTTCTCCCTCTGATTGAAATTGAAAATCCAGCAACAAACAGCACTTACCATTGAGCTTTTAAGTCATTGTTTTCGCTGCTTTATATTCTTATGTGTTTTCTGCTCCATTCTTTATCAGGTGTTCAACGAAATCAATAGTCGTGATATAGAGAAAATAAATGTCTTCCGTGGAATATTCAGCAGCTGGATTTTCATGGTTGTTATGGTTTCCACTGTTGCATTTCAAGCAATCATAGTTGAGTTTCTGGGAACTTTTGCAAGCACTGTGCCCTTGAACTGGCAGCTTTGGTTAATCAGCATTTTAATCGGAGCAGTTAGCATGCCTTTAGCTGTCATTCTAAAGTGCATTCCTGTTGAGAGAAATGCTGCTCCGCAACACCATAATGGTTATGAAGCCCTACCTAGCGGTCCAGAACAGGTCTAATAATACACGGGCTGCACCAACTTTGATCAGACAAAAACGGTGCATAACTCAATTTCACAAAAAAGGCATGAACCAGAGAACTAACTGGTTGAAGAAGTATCCTCAGGTGTTGCTTCAGTTCCACATTTTTTCCTCGTACCAGCGGCTTGCAACTCATTTTGTTTGCACAAATATCCCAAGTTAGGTATTTTGGATTAACTTAATGTTAGGAATTTGAGATTAGGCTGAATTTTACCAAAATGATTCATGGAAGTGGTTTCATTTTAGGTACCTCCACCCATACGGAATTTACTCTTCTGTTAAGTTGCTTACATAAACGTATGGTTTGGTTAGAACGCGTTAACTTAAAATATTTTGAAAACGACGATAATTTTTCATCTAATGGCTCTGTGTCAATTGAAAGTTTACCTTGCAATTGAACTGTTTGCAATTGTTTATGTACTTACTTTTAAAAACACAATTCGCTTGGTTGAAGTATCATCCAATAATAATTTAATAGAAGTGGTAACTCCAATGAAAAATACTTGACGATTTTTTGGATATTCAAAGGATGTTAGTTTTTCAAAATATTAACTCAAAAGCCTCTGGTATGAAAAAAATGTGAAGTTGAAGCAACTTCTGATGATACATCTTCGGGCCATGCTTATCTTCAAGAGATTAAGCCATGCATGATTTTATTTTTCGTCAAAAGTTGGTGCTCATGCCAATATTGGTTCATATGGAGAAGCCGTCGAAGGGAACTGAGACAAGGTGCCATTGTGAGACACTGAGACCCCTGAGACCTCTAATCTTTTCAAGTTTCAGTTATTCTGTTCGGAGCACTGTAAGAGAAAATGTTATTGGTTTTTACAAAATGTGAGGTAAATTATTAGATATATTCCATCCATGTTTTCTTGCCATATTACCTGAATATCTGACTATCTGAGATTGCATGCTGGTAGAGAAGAAAAAATTGTCTTGTTTTTCTGGTGTTATATCAGCTTATTTCAGCAAGGTATTGATTTTATGCTCCAAGAATATGCAAACTTTCAATTCTATTCATTTTTGTTTGTAGTTGTAAATTTGCAATCTACTACAGTATTTGTATTACTCAAAATTTACTGCATGAAAAACCTAAGCATTTGAGCCGCGTTCAGATTTTCATACTACCAATTTCACAGCAGTCATAAAATTCATCTGATCATACTGTTAAATAGCAAGAACGACAACACTATATTCTTTCCGATAATTTTCTTAAGCTGAATTTCCTGGTGAGCAGAATACAAAAAATAGAATTATAAATTTATAACCTCTGTTTTGACCTCTCTGTGAACAAATACTGCTCCACTCTACTCAAGACATGCTACTTCAATACAATATAGTTACGTGTAATTACCTAGCTAATCAATCTTCCTATTTAAGATGAAAAAAAATTAAATAAAGAATGTATTACTTGAATCTTCGCTTTGTCTCTCCATAAGCAATTACTCCAAGAACAGTCATTGTATAACCACCAATACCTATCACGGTAACTGGATTCTGGAAAATAAGTATTGAGATAACGACAGCCACTGCACCCTTTGCATTGCCTAATACCTGAAGGAAAAATTAACATATACTGAGTAAAGATACTAATAGCTGGGAGAAACATCAATATCACAGGGATCCCTAGGAAACAGAACAAGAGAAAATAAAACGTATGGAGTGTAAACTTTACCTAAATATGCTATACAAGAAAATGAGATGTCATACTTGCGAAAAAAAAAAAAAAAAAAATAACACTACACAAGGCATACAAAGTCTTCCCTAACTAATTAAGTTCTTGTAATGGATAAAACAATCCGTAAATAACCAGAATTACTTTCCTAGATAAAGTAGATATTCCGAATCCTAGTATTGTTGCTTTGAGAGAATAATGATAGCAAACAGATTAGCCATCGACTCACAACACATACAATTAATTAAACACATTTAAAGCATTAGAGGTATAAGGATATCAAACCTGGAGAGTTAGGGCACTTGTGTACTTGGTCACCAAGAAGTTGGACAAATTGGCAGCATAAGCCATGGTTGAGTTCAGTATAAGAATTATCAACATGAACTTATGCTGATGTCCCACAGAAGCAAAGACTTCTAGTACAGTGGGCTCCATTATAAACACAGCAGGAACTAAGGCGACAACTGCAATTGGGGCCATATACAGCAACAAGTTCATCGAGTCCATCTTTTCCCTGAAATAAGTAACATGAGATTAGATTGAAAGTCCACCAGGAATGCATCTGAACAGAATTCAAACTTTTACCCCAGTTTGCACTTTGCAAATTGCTCAAGTATGAGTCAATAGGGAAGGACATCAAATGTATCATACTCTATCAGAAAAGTGTCTGTTCTTTTGTCCTATATCTAGTCTCAACGTTTTTAAGATAAGACTTTAGAATCAATGAATGATGTCTGAAATAAGCATTCTATTGTTGATCCATGATGTGCCATGTATTACACTCTTTTGAACTTTCAGCCTTCAATGTGATATACCCCAGAGAATGTTTCTAATCATGATTTTAAACACCATGCCGTGATGCTTCCTGTACTATTTTCTACTAAAATGTTGAATTTGATGCAAGATAGATGAATAATTGCATATCATTTGCCATCAGCATCTTGGTCAAGTACGGGTCACTTCTGAAGTTTTGATGCACCCTGGTTATGTCGTGTCACTTGATGGAACGGAAAATTGGATATAAGGACAGAAAAGCTTTCATGTGTAGTCGTGTAGATTTGTGATTTTGAACGTACTACCACAAAAACTCACAACTTCCTTTATTTCTGTTGTGATTCTTTGTTTCCCTGCTTATATCTAAATGACTCTTTACCTGAAAATGCCCAAAATTTTGCAGTGTCTATTGCACATTGTTTCATAAAGTAGCAGAAACTCACCCTTCATCAGAGAGTAGGATGCCCTGGAGAACAGATTTGAACGCCCTCGCTGCAGTGGCACTTATACACATAATAAATCCAAACAAATGAAAACTTGGCTCCCCCTGTCAAAATCCGCAAGAATTCCATCAAGTTTCTTACTTTCAAGTTCAAAATCATCAAAAACACGAATTATTTTCTAAACAAAGATGGACAAAGTAAAAGGTGGTTGCTTGCTTTAGTGATGTTCTCAAAAGAAGTAAACATATTTGAATGCGGTCCTTGATGATCCGAAAGGACCACATTCAAATATGTTTACTTGTTCTGATATCAATATAACCAAACAGGCCAATAGATTAGTACAATCAATTAAGTACAATAAGTGGGGTTAATTATTTAACAAATCAAATCAACAAACAAGCAATGCAAATATGCCATCAATTCCGGCACTAAATCAAGATTTGACAATATTACTATTTACCAACATTCCCAACAAATTGAATAATGAACAATATTTCCAAAACTATCTTCATTATCATAATATAACTTCTCTTAGTAATTAATTGATTACACCAAGCAATGCTCTACTTTGAAAGATCCACCAAATTCAAAGGTGACATAATTTAAATCAAACATTTACTATTTTACAATATTTAGCTCACTATCATTATAACAACACATTCCAGATCTTAAATCTCATACTTAAAGTTCCAAATCAGATCAAAACATACAAATAAAAGATTCAAAGATTTCAAACTAATGAGGAAAACATAACTATCAACAATCATATAAATTTAAAATTCCACAAACAATCCAACAACAATAACATTGCCAAAGATTTTATCTCACGTGATCATCAACAACGAATAAAATATAATAATTCAAAAATACCAAGTTGAAGAAATATACCCCACTAGCAATAATAACACCAGTAACAACAGGAACAAGGCAAGCATAAGTAACCCAAGCTTCTCTCTTGAAAGTGATCAAATAAGCAAACAAAGCAGTGAAAAACGGCGTCGTAGCACCAACAGCTTGATTGAAGGAAACAGGAAGAAATCTCAAAGATACATTACCACCAACAACTGACCCACAAAAAACAATACTCAAAGTCACAATTTTAACAAATTGTGATCTTGATTTTACTCTTTGTAATGGAACTATTTTCAATATAACAATGGAGATGTAACTCAGAAAAGCACAAGCTGACATGTGGCACATTGTTAGGAATATTGGAAATCCGAATTTATAATTTGAGAGAAGTAATTTGTTTAATAGTAATACCCCAATATTTGATGAATACCATAGTATTATCAATGATCCTATAAAAATCATGTCTTTTTTTATTGACATGTTTTTTTTTTTTTGGGATCTGGGGATTTGGGTTGAAGCTCTTTCTGGAGCTTTAATGGAGATTGAATCAGGGTTTTTTTTCCTTTTTTGGGAAGATGGGTTAAATTAATTTGAAATAATTAATGTATTAATGTATTAAAAAAATTTCAAAAAAAAAAAAGCAATCTTTGAGTTGAGAGGAGAGAGAAAGGGATGTATTGAGTTTGCAGGAGATGTCACAGGTGGTGGGGAAGAAGATGAAGATAGAAAGCGTAGTTTTTGTGTTTTTATTTACGAGTTTTTTTTTTAAAGTTTTTTGTTGGAAAGAATGTTACACTTTGAAAGCTTGAATAGGGTATTTGTACAGATCATATCTAATTGGTGCAAAATTTATAAAAGTATGTTTAATAGTTTAAGGCTTTAAGCCCTTAATTATTTTTTTTGGTGTTTAGAGAGCCACAAGAGCGAGGGTGAGAATCAATCTTAAGATCTCCTAAATTCGGAAGGTAAGCTCTAACCACTTGAATTACCCCTCACTCTCTTAAGCCCGTTAATTGGATGAGCTAAATGCACAAGTTTGTTATGGAATATATTTATATCTTTAAATAAGAAAATTAATTAAATTACGATATGAAATTCTAAATCATACCCATATATGGCACACAAAATAAGGGTATGTTCTTATTGACTGAACTGAACTGAAATGAATATTTTAAAAGAGAAGGAAATTAGAAGCTGAGCTGAACTGAACTGAGCTGAACTGAATTTTAACGTAAGAGAACAGGCCCTAAATATATTAGCTTCCCTACCTTATAAAAAGTGGGAAAATACTTTATGAATAGTGTCAAGACTATTATACCCTTAAAAAAGTTAATTGACATATTATCCCCATTTAAAATTAAATTTTGATGCATTTAAGTATTTAATCTTTCGTATTTTTGTCCTCTATTTCTTTTGTTTATCTTAGCTTCCTTCTTATCATTCCATCGAAAAGGCCAAAAATCCTCATTTCTCAATTTCCTCTTTTCTCACGAACTCCTTTCTGGTTGCTGGAAAATATTACTAACATGTCAGTTTTCATTCCCCGGTCACCACCTAGTCACCTACCACCGTGATAATTCTATAAGGATGATGACCCTGCTGATTGTTTTTTTATACTAAAGGAAATGTAAAGTTTGTGTAAACTATTTGTTTATGTTATACGAAGAGGTGAATAAGCATACTATTCGGAGACGCCCGTATCCGGTTAGAGTTGGGGACAGCTCAAGATTGGTGGAGTTGACGGATGAATGCAATAATGGTACCTTCGTAGTGGTGGAGTGTAAAGTGTAATTGCTTGGATACCATTAAAATGATAAACCAAAAAAATAAAAAATAAAAAATAAGAGTAATACTTTTGATATAATCTCTTCTAGTTGTGTTTATAGAGGAGTCAAACAAAGCAACTCATTTGATGAGTCTTCTACGGAATGTAGCAGTTATGTCTTACATATGAGGTACTATAGTCTTATGCTTTTGATTAAGAGGTTGTTTGAAGATATATTTTGCTTTAGTTACTGTGTCATTGTCTCGATTTTTATCCTAGGAAAAGCTTATAGTTTATGATTATAGGAAAGAGTTAAGATGTACCCATACATCATCAGTTAAATACTCGTAGCTCATAAATGCTATCTCCTCCATTATATGGTCCAATGACTATCTAATTGCAGGGAAATATACTAATTCACATATAGCCTTTGTGCTAGGGTGTTCAATGAGGGTTTTGTCCTCTCCATAACACTCCTATTATAGTTATAGAATGATGCAATATCTTTGATTGCCTTTTAATATAGTAATACGTACATTGGCGAGTTATAATATATATGATCATTTTCAAAATAAATAATCATAACACAAAACATGTTTCCACTATTAAATAAATTAAGATATAATTACTTATTGATCGACCTAAGACAAGTATAATTCAACAGCAACTCAAAGTACGTAAATTTTGAGGTTCGAATTTATAACTCCCCTACGATGGCTAGCTGTATCGCGCACTGCGCGCGTAGGATTCCCTAGTTCAAATAAAAGCTCAAATTAACCCTGTATAGTTGTATGTGCGGAGCATAAATTGATTGAAATTTAAATGTTGATAACAACATAAGTTTGTAATGAATACGAAATAATTAAGTCTTTGAATTATTATATGTAAAAAAGTTAAAGTCCATATTTAATTTACAAAACTAATTGTTGATACATGTGTATTTAATCAAACTAAATAACTCTGTATTCTCTTATTTGTAAATTACTAAATTGTAATGTCTTATATGAATATCAAACACATTTAAAATATCTTGCTAATTTCTTATTGTATAAAGAGTAGTAGAGTTGATCAAAAGTAGCCTAACTCGCAGCCCGAGTTTGGGCAACTTTCGGACCCGACCTGTTTCGATCCAACTCGACTTATTAATTTGTTACGAGCAACCTAAATTATCTTTTTTTCAGTAAAAAAAAAAAAATATATATATATATATATAGTCTAATCCAAATTTGATTTGATAATGTAAAAGTATGCTATTTTAGCTCTAATTAGTGAGTTTGGGCATGATTTTTGGCACTAACTTTGTATTTGACTAATCATCACAAACCCCTGTAACTCGAGTAATCTCTAATTGAGCAACTCCTGCCACCCCAAACTAAAAATGTAACTCAATTGCTAAACATCGCCCGCGAATCTCCACATAAAGCCCACAAAATTAGAGTGAATTGTCACTTTTGCCCTCAAAGTAAAAAACACAATTTCTTCTCTCAATTCTCTACTTCCACTTTCTCTCTCTAAAAAACTTTCCGAGCGATGTCGAGGCGGCCCGGCAAGGAAGTGGCGGCACAGGCGGCGGGTGGACAGCGGTTTTCCGGCGAGAAGGTATTTTTTATTAATTTTGTGTTTAAAAATTAAAAAAAAAAGGTCGGAGGCGGTGGTGGCGCCTAGGCCAGACGCCACCACCACGGCGGCGGCGTCTAGCCCAGACGCCACTACCACGGCGGCGGCGCCTAGGCCAGACGCCGTGACGGTGGCGGTGGCGTCTGGCCCAGGCGCCATAACCACGGCACCGGCGTCTGGCCTAGGCGCCGCCGCTGTGGTAGTGGCGTCTGGGCTAGACGCCGCCGCCACCGTCACGGCGTCTGGCCTAGGCGCCGCCGCCTTTTTATTTTTTTTTTTAATTTTTTTTTGGTTTTAAATTTGAAATTTAATTTTCGAAAATAATTATTTTTTTTGATTTTTTTTTAAATTTGTTTTTCTTTTTTTTAATTTTAAATTTTATGTTTCTGATTTTTTTTTTATTTTGTTTTAAATTTTGTTGGTTTTTTTTAAAAAAATTTTATGTTCCTCTTTTTTTTTTTTAATTTTTAATTTTATGTTCTTGTTTATTGTTCTTGTTTTTTTTTTTTTTGAATTAGTTTTTTTACTTAAAAAAAATTTTATGTTCCCTTTTTTTTGTTATAAATTTTTTTTAAAATTTTGATGTTCTTCTTTTTTTAAGTTTTTATAATTTTATATTTTTCACTTTGTTATTGATGACTGCAACAGGCAGAGCTGTTATTGATGAACTGCAACAGGCAGAGCTGTTATTGATGAACTGGAACGGGCCCTTGAGCAGTGGCAGTGGGCGTCACAGAGAGATTATTGATATGTCGGCAGTGCATTTATAAAACATTTTCCTAGTTGTTTGTAAAAGTTAACATTATCTGTTCTTATAATTATTATTTTAAGTTCTTAGAATTTGACATTATATTTTTAGTTTTTATAACTTTTATTTTAAGTTGTAATTAGTGGGCATACGAAAACTAAATACAGGTTCACATTTAAATGGGAAAACTAAATACGAAAATTAGAATCCGAAAATTAAATAAATGGGAAAAACATAGCAATAGCAATATTAGGTCACATAGAAAAGGCAACTAGATTGTTCCACTGCTGCACCCGGTCATGATATAACGCATCCCAGCCCTCTACGCTTGCTGTACGAATGGTGTACCACGTTGGTATAATCGGTGGGACCGGAAAATCGGGTGACAGGTCCAGTCGGATGAAATGTCTGTATGACGGCCCCAGAAATCCAATAGCAACCTCTCTTACCGGTCTGGTGACGGTCTCACGCGAACACCAAGGCAGAACCGTGGTACACGGATAGTAAGCTCGACCATGCAAACCAAGGCCGAAATGCATCACTGCACACTTGTAGATGTTTGCAACGGCGAAGAGATCAAGGGGCGCGTCGAACCAATGATTTTGACCGCAACGTCCTCCTCCCCACCGGATACGCTGCAGAGACCTATCCAAGTCCTGTCCGTACACGTGGCGATAAACAGCTCGGTTTGAGGCGATTTCACTGTACATCAACTGACGCACTAAACCGTAGTTGTCTTCACCCATCTGAAACACATCAGCCACAACCCGAAATCCACAGTTACCATCTGCAACCACATCATTCCACCCGTCCAGGAACGGCATCATGATGTTAGGGATCCTGTCTTTATATGGAAAATGTTCAATGTCCATTCTGCCTGTTGCACACATCAAAAAACACAATTAACAAGTTAGCAGAAAACTAAACAAACACTCTAAAAAGTAAATTAAACTAAAGTACCGTACCGGTGCCGGGCATATTCACCGACGAAGATGTTTGACTACCACTTGATGACGATGTACGACCACGGCACGTGGCGATAAATGAAGAACTTGGTTTGTCCAATATTTGACAAACTTTTCCCTCTGAGGCACCCACTGCTGCATCACATAGTCTACGATTGCCGGGCACCATTGGTATGCATCCTTGAAGTTATCCAAGGCTCGGTCGTACTCTGCCTCCGTGGTAGCTTGCAGGATCTTCCGCCACTTACCATTTACCAATCTCTCTGCTGAATCTAAGTTCTTGTTGAAAAGGTTGTAGGCTTTGACTTTCACGCATTTGTTGATGTGCCATGTGCACAGTAAATGGCTCGACTCCGGAAACAGCTCCGCTATAGGGGCAAAGAGACCTCCCTCACAATCGCTGACGATGGCCGATGGCTGAACACTTGGGCCGATGTAATTTCTCAACTTCTCCAACACCCAACGGTAACTCGCAACCGTCTCATCCTTCATAACTGCATAACCAATCAAAAAGTTCTGGTTCGTTGGAGTCATCCCAACCATCTCAACCAGTGGAAACTTATACTTGTTTGTCTTGTACGTTGAATCGATCAGAATCACAGATGGCCAAGACGAAATCATATCAGCACAATCAGGATGCACAAGGAACAAATGAGTCACCTCCGATGTGTCTTCATCAGATTCAAACCAGTACAGGTAACCACGTGCTTGTGCCTGGTGTAGAAGCTGCTGTATAGGGTTCCTTCCCTCTGACCGTTCAAACCTCAATTTATGTCTGACGTTGTAGATGTGTCTTCGGTTTGGCTGGTCTTCAGGAAATTTCTCCAACACAGATGCTAATATTTTAGCAGGCTTCACTTGAGCATCACTCATTTCTTTTACAATTAGTTTCGCAGCAGGACTTAGGCCACTTAACTGTCGATGACCCACTTCATATGCGATCATCTCATGGTTGTGATACCCCCATTTACCGTAACTCTTCACTTCCCAACCGTCACCCCTTTGCTGTTGTCGAACCTTTACTCTGAACTGACACCCACAACCTTTCCGCTTTGTATCAAACCGAATCGCTTGACTGAAATCTCGTTCCTCCCTTTTGCGATAACGGTCGCATCTCAAAATGCGATCCATTCTACCATCCCGTTGAGATTTATGAGTTGCTACTACTAAACAAAAACCTGATCTAATTGCAACCTGTTTCGCCCAATCAACCGCTTGTTGAGCATCTTCGAACAGACCATCGTGTACAAAAATCCCACTATAATCATTTCCGTCTCCACCATAATCCTGCAACAATAACATATAAATATAATCACATAAGAGTAGATTAAATTAATACATTTGACACAACATAAGCACAAAAGCAAAAACAATAATAAATTATAAACAACAAACAAAGAAATAAACAAAAAGTATTCAAAAAAAAAAAAAAAAAACAAAACACAAAAATAAAAAACATAAACAAAACTTTAGATTAAATAAATAAAAATAAACCAAAAAAATAAAAACAAAAAAAAAACATAAAACGAAAAAAATTGTAAAAAAAAAAATAAAAAATAAATAAATTAAAAACAAAAACAAATTAAAACAATTAAAAACAAAACAAAAAAAAAAACCAAAAAAAAAAGAAAAAAATTGTAACACAAAAAAAAAAAATAAACAAATTTTAAATTAAATTAAAAAAAAAAAAAAAAAAAATAGTGGTGGCGCCTAGCCAGGACGCCGCGACCGTAGTGGTGGCGTCTAGCCAGGACGCCGCCACCGTGGCGGTGGCGCCTGGCCAGGACGCCGCCACCGTGGCGGCGGCGTCTTGGCCAGACGCCACGGCCACGGTGGCGGCGTCCTGGCCAGGCGCCAGAGCCACGGTGGCGGCGTCCTGGCTAGGCGCCACCACTACGGTCACGGCGTCCCGGCAGGACGCCAGCCGCCAATTCGTGGTTTTAGATGGCTTCGTACCTCCTTTTCCGGCGTCAACGGCGTCTCTCCGGTGCATCTACCCGACGTTGAGGGCTCTTCGGTTTCACTCGGCGATCCAGTCCTGCTCCACATTTTTTATGAGTGAAAAATTTTATTTTCGGTAAAAATTAAAACAAGGGCAATAATGTCAACATTTTTAAAAAATGTGGGCTTTATGTAGAAAAACGCGGGCGATGTTTAACAAATCCCAAATGTAAAAGGGAAAGAAGAAAAAAAAAATCATAGTTTTGTTTTCTGTATTGTTTATGGGCTCCCTCATTTTGGCCCAAACTTGTACAGTTATAAAACCAAGTTCTGTAATAATAAAATTAAAGAGGAATTCCAAGAAGAAAAAAAAAAAAAACAGTTATAAATACCGTAGTTTTGTTTTCTGTAATTTTCCACATTTAAGTCAAACAAAGCATCTCTTTTCACTCTCACTGTAGTGTTGCCGCCAAAACCACCACCATTTCCTCTCTCCGCTATACTCGCCGCCGCAAAACCCCAACTCCATGTCTTCTCCGCCGCAATCTCCGCCGCATAAGAAGCTAAAAAGCTCCACCGAAGACGCCGGCGAAGAAACTTTGATGCACATCATATCGAGTGAAACCCAGAACAGTGAGACCCAGAACAATGAAACCCAGAACTCTGAAACCCAGAACTCTGCAACCCAGAACTCTGAAACTCAGAACAGAGAAATCCAGAACAGAGAAACCCAGAAAAGAGAAATTCCGAAGCACATGATATTGAAATTCTTGAGTGAAACCCAGAACAGAGAAATTCCGGATCACGTGATATTGACTGAAATCCTTCCAAGACTTCCCGTCGATTCACTTCTCCGATTCAAGCAGGTCTGTAAAGAATGGGAGTTACTAATCTCGAGTCCCGATTTCATCAATGATCATGCGTTCCGCCAAAATCCTCTCTCCTCGAGGTCTGTTCTTTCAATTGCCAATGATTCTTCATTAACTGCTATTGATTACGAAGATCTTGATTTCACCCCTTTAGGCCAGTATTCCTCAGTAAATCCCATTTTCTTGATTGGTTCTTCTCATGGCTTAGTTTTGTTGATTTCTTCTGATGCAACTAAGGGTCAATTGCGATTTCCTAGTTTACTTCTTTATTTTGAATTTGATTTTAGGACTTTTAATCCTGTTTTTGGTGGTCTTGGTAATACTATTTACCCTCCTCCAAAATTTCTTCAGAGTACTGATTTTGCTGCAAAGGATTATAGTTTTGGGTTTGGTTATTCTTCAACTCATGATGAATTCTACATTGTTGCTATTAATTTTCTAGTGTCCTCGAACCATCCTGTTGTAGTTGTCTTTCTATACAACTGTAGTACCCAAAAATGGATTGAGAAGCACAAGGTAATAACAGCGCCAAGTTATGAGGAACAAAGGATGGCAATTATACTTGAAGATGTTTGGTATAAACATAGTGGAACACTTGTGAATGAAGCTTTACATTGGGGTGCTATTATTGTACTTGAAGATCTTTGGTGTAATCACCAATGCATTGTTGGCTTTGATTTGGGTAGTCAGAAGTTGGGATTTATGAGTTTGCCGTCTGCCAATTTTGGGGAATCTGCAATATTCATTCGTTCTGCTTTTAGTCTGTGTTGTTTGAATGATTTCTTGTGTGCTTGGGCTTATTTTAAGGGTGGAAGAAGAGTTGAGATGTGGATGATGAAAGAATATGGTGTGCGGAAATCATGGACCAAGTTGTTTTGTGCTGATATGAATTCTACATATTGGTATTTTTTTGGAAAGCCTCGACAGATAATGATTTTCAATTTTGATGGGCTACGGTATGTTGACTTCAGCTGCATTACACCAAGATGGAGCAAAGTTGATTTTCAAGACCAAGTGAAAGCGGTGAATTATGTTCAAAGCCTTTTATCACCTGATGCAATAATCAAATATCCGACCTCTGGTGAAGAGAATGAATGACATACATTGGGAGAATTATCGTGTTGGTACATACATACATTGTGAAACTTAGCTGCTCGTGTTGGTAGATACATTGTGAGAATTAGTTAGTTGCTCGTGTTGGTAGATACATTGTGAGAATTAGTTAGTTGCTCGTGTTGGTACATACATTGTGAAACTTAGTTGCTCGTGTTGGTAGATACATTGTGTAGTTAGTTGCTCGTGTTGGTACATACTGCTGCCTGAAAATTAGTTGCTAGTGTGGTTGAGACAAGCATTGTCAAAAATAAGCTGTTTGTGTTGGTACAAACATTTGTTATTGTTGTGAAAATTAGTTTCTTGTGTTGATACAAACATTTGATATTGTTGTATTCCATTGTAAACCTTACCAGAAATGATAATGCAAATCTGCAGATAAGACTTAGCTACTTGTCTTGAATGATAAGGCAGTTTGCCTGAATATTGCTATCATAAGCTGCAATGAATATGAGTTGTTTTCTTGGTTTGATTTATATCATGTGTTTCTCCTATCTATTTTACTGTAGACATGATCACAAAATGGTTCAACTAGCACTTACTAATTTGCTATTACAGCAAAATCAGAGAATATTATTATCGGGTTGGATTTGTTTTAGCAAATTTCTTGTTTAAATGTTATCTTGAAGCAGGTATGTTACTAAGGTAACAAATGTCAAATGTGCATTGTTTTTCAATTGATGTAACTACTTAGTTCCTTCGTCAATTTTTGGCTGCTTGAAGTGTAGCAGACTGTAGGTGTCATGGATAAAGAATATGATCAGTACGCATCAGGAAAGAAACCAGGTAAGTAGTAATAGGTCATTTACTGCATTAAGTTAAGCTATGTGAGTATGTTGTTAGAATCCTAGCTCTGAATTCAGTTTGGTATCTGTTCTGAATCCATTTGACATTTTTAGAATGAATGAATGGTTTAATGTGTCTTATTCCTTTGAGTAAAAGAGTATCAGTGGGTGCCATCACCGGCAAACATTCTGAATTTCAGACATACTCTCTATGAACAAAAGAGGGGGGGGGGGGGAGCGATTTTGATCTTGTACACAGTCTAAATATGAGAAGCTGTTTCCATTATTTTTTTTCTCTTTTTTGTGGTTAGTTAATTAGTTATATTGAGCTTATTTATCCTGTTACTCTTTAATAATAATCAGGTCATTTGCATGTCCACAACAATCTTTCAGCACACAGATACCTCTCAATGTAGACTGATCTTGTCCATGAAGGCATGAACCACCATCTATATATATAAGAGGCAACTATGATCCTTAGTCACTTTGTTTTGCTCACATGAAGTGTTGACAAGTAATCATATATGACACACAGTACATGATGTCCTCCAACCCCTTAGCCTTCCTCCATATCCCGTGACCCTCTAACCAGGAAGCTTTCCCACAGTATGCTCATATGTGAAACTTGTATTGTGATGCGTTTTGTTCTTGATCGATTCATGCTCGACTATAGGTCTGTTAAGTGTATGACTTGCATTTTTCAATCCTGAATCACCAGTTTCTGATTTTAAAAAGATAACTTTAGTGGCTGCCTTCTATTTGGATTTGGGTATGTGTCAAATTTGTACTACTACAAACTTGGTTCTAGGTATTGATGAATAAAAGGCTTGATTTATGTGAATTATGTCTATTCCTTGTAGCAGTAAATGATCGCTTGTCAATTTAATTACTAGTAGATCGATTTTCTGTAGTTGTCAGAAGCTAATGAAATGTTAGTCTCTGAAACAGATGATAGCAGATAATATGTTAAGCTATTGAAATGTTAGTCCTTGAAACACTTTGAATATATTATTAGATTATTGTTGGATCACGTCTAATTGGTACACATAATATGTTAAGTTAATCCTGTTCATTGGATGAGCTGCAAAAGTTTGATACTTTGATATGGTGAAAATTATAATATAGTCGTAAGAGTTTGATTTACTTTTAATTCTGGATTGGCTTTTATCTATGCCTTTACTGATGAGCTAATGCTAGCTGACTTCGGCCTTGATCCTCCGAAATATCTGCATATTTAATCCAATGGCCATTTTAATGTAGTGAATTATGTTCAAATCCTTGTATCACGGCTCTTGCCTTAAGCTCGGACCAAAGAGAAAAGATGATTGTTTGTACTATAGACATTATGAAAGTTAGTTGCTTCCTAAAATGACATTAACTTAGCTACTTGTCTCACAAACTGTAAGATAGTTTCCCTGATTTTGCTAGTGATCGAAATGATACAAAATGTCTAGTTGTATCACCTCTTATCCTAAACTCGGATCAATGAGAATAGATGGTTATACATTAGTTATTTTCTCTGTAAATAAACTTACTTGTCAAAAATCTACTTACTGCAATGAATACTACGGAGTATGAGTTATTTTTGCGTTTGATGAAATATCATGTGTAAATACTTTCATCTATCTCTTTATAATTGCAAATTTGATTACAAAGTGGTTCAACTACCTTAACATTTGCTATTTTATATAGCAAAACCAAAGAATAATAATAAATCTTTTTACTTGGTTGGAAATAGATTGGATTCGCTTTAGCAAATTTCTATATAAGTATTCATCAAGTTTTTATCTTGAATTTGCATATTCTAGTGTTTAGTGTCTTCAACCAAGTTTGTCGTCTTAGCCGGAAATATAACCATCAAACAAACAAACATTTAAGGAGATGATTTTTTTATTTTATTATTTTTTTGGGCATATAAAGCTTATTATGATTAGTTGTGATTTTTTTAAAAAATAAAATAATAAATAAATGAATTCAATTAAAATAAAATAAGTAAAATCCTATTATCAAATTAAAAAAAAAAAAAAAAAGTAAAGCCCTAAAAACCTAGCCACCATAGTAAAACTTAGGGCTGCCATCAATTTTATTGATGGTAAGCCCCAAATTATTCTTCAATTTAATGTTTTTAGCCAATAAAGATTACCAGCATGGTGATTATAGTCAGTCCCTTAGGATTTAGCCAGTCCCTCGATGTAGGGTTTAGTATTGTTTGTTTTTCGTGTGTGCAAGGATACAAATTTAAAAGATTCGTCTAGCAAATTTGTGGAATAGTGAGTCGTTGGTATAGTGGTACAGATTTAAAAGATTTATCTTGCAAATTTGCAGATCTTGATCAATCAAGTTTTATCACTTTTACGACTATACATCAATGGATCCCCGTCAAGAACGATGCAGAAATATCTAAAATTATTCAGGAGCAGTTCAAAAGCAATGTCATTAGTTTAGGGGTGTTTAATTCTTGTATTGAGAATTTAGATCTCTTAAGGGATGATTGTAAGTGTCCTTAATGATATCACCACTCCCTATTCCATTAAAAAAAAAAAGTCAAGTCATAATCATTTAAGGACTTGTGTTACTCACTCTGTATTTTGTTATTTGCTCCATTTTTTCATATTTGGAGTTTTAGGAGAAATATTAGAAAATTATTTTATAATGAAAGAAGGGTTGGTTAAAGAGTAAAAAAAAATGTGAAAACCAAAGGTGGGTATAAGAAGAAAGGAGAGTAAGGGTCTGTTGATTTACCGAGCTGGATTGAATTGAACTGAAATTAAGCTGAAGACAACATAACTTAAATATGAAAATATTAAAAATATGATATGAGGAGACAATTGATGGGAGAAAAAAGTGAAAAATATGTTAAAAAATTTCAAACAAGGATAAGAAAATTAACAAGAATAATCCTAGCTATTGACTCCTCATTTGAATCCCAACTAAGGGCTGTTTCGATTTACTGAAAACAACTTAATCGAACTGAACTAATTGGGGCTTAACTGAACTGAATTAAATATAGTTGAAATGAATTGTTTATGAGAGAATGAAATTAGGAACTGAACTGAATTGAATCTAAATAAAACAGGGCCTAAGTTTCAAATCAGAATAATCCTAACTATTAGGGGTCCTTCTCAAAATATTCCCTCTTACCTATAACCTGTGATACCAGTAAAGCGGTTTTTTTTTTTTTTAGGCAATTAACTTTTTATTTATTATCACCCATCATTCACCTACAACCTTGGTCACTTCCATAGCCACAACTAACCACCACTACCCCTATCTCTCTCTTCCTTCAAACCACCATGAACCCAACAACTCTTCACGGCCATACCACCACCACAACACCACCTCTACCCTCATACTGCCACACCACCACCACCTCATCAGCCCACCTCCTCTCCCAATTGCAGTACCCTCGCTTACTCTCTATCCTACCCCTATTTTGTGGTCGTTGGTCAGTGTGGTTTTGCAGTGGATCGAACATTGTGCTTGATGGTCATTATATTGTTGTCAGGGGCGAGGCAAAGAATTTCGGAGTCCTGTGCGATTTTTAAACTTGAGCCCCTTTTTCATAATTCTAATTTCCGCTTAATGATACTTGAATACTTTGTAAATATTAATTTTAATCATCACATTATAAATTATAAGAAATAAAACTCTAATATTTTTACGAGTCCTTGTAATGCCAATTATCTCAATAATTCATTTTGGAAAAATATATTATCATAAAAAAAAATTCATTAAGTTGTATTAAAAAAAATGTTAATTAAATTTATAAACGATAAGTTGTTGTTGTTTTTTTTTTTTTTTTTTTTTTTTAACGGGTACTTGTAAGAAATAAAACTAATATTTTTACGAGTACTTGTAAGGCCAATTATCTCAATAATTCAAAATTTTGGCAAAATACATTTTCATAAAAAAAATTCAGTAAGTTGTATTAAAAAAATAATAATTAAATTTACAAGATTTTTATGTCATGGGAATCGAACCCCTGACTTCCCTTACATAGCTCATTTAACCTAACCAGCAAGCCAAGAAAATCTTTAGCTAATATTGATTTTGAGGGCTTGTGCAGTCGCCCAGGTTACATCGTGCCAGCGCCGCCCATGATTTGGTGGTTGATAGTGATTGATTGCTGGAGTAGCAAAAAGGATAGTTTCGGTGGATAGGCTTGGCTGAAGATACTTTTGGTTGCTAGGGGTGGATGTA